AGTCATTCTGGCTAAATTGTATGTAATAAAATTGAAGTTGGTGAAGTTGTGTATTATTAACTGCACAGTATACTTTTTATGTAGTTTATTACTGTTAGAAGAAAAAGCTACATACTTATAAAGAGGAGAATGCCAGATAGCAAACTTCCGTAAGTAGGTTATATTTAATTGTATGTGAAGGTATAAACTGCCCTTTAGATTTTTGCTTCACTTCATTTTCATCTATTGTGAGAGGTTCTGAGGAGTGCTTTACTATATTGTAGTACACCTAAAATACTCTCATCTGTAATATCTATTCTCATAACAATACAGTAAAATTGAAGAACTTTTTGATATTGTGATTATATTTTCTGTGATTGCTGATAATTGCAAAGTATATCAGTATTGTTCTAGTATTTAAAGAATTAATCTGAATACAGCCATAAAAGTAGCGCAGCTTTGCTAAAGTAAGAAAAAAATTTCGTCAGAAACTACTTGGCAATTTTTTCATAGTTTGTTTTTTCAGTCACTTTTTTTTTTTCCCCTGTGGATTTTAATTCTAAATTAAAGAAACTAAAACAAATCTTTTATTTCTAAGTGCAATAGAGCTAGATAAGTGTTAGATAACTATGAGAGCAGCACCATCTAGTGTTAATATTTCATAAGGAAAATTTCCTTAATTATTAATATTTCTTCAAGGAAGAGTTTTTAAAATTAACTTTGATTCTGGGGTCGAAACTGCATTTGTAGTTTGAAGTCATCTAAGGGAGTAAGTAAAATCCATGAAAAAAAATGTAATTGCTGTGGGCGTGCTCGCTGCTTTGTAATACCCAAGATGTAGGGCCATACCGGAAAGAAAGCAGCAAAGTGGTATCTCAGCATTTCTCTGCTTGTGCAGAAAATCTTTTTATAATAATAATTTTAAGGAATAAAGTCAAAGGCTAGAGCACCACTTCTGTATTTCTGGGAAAAAAAAGGAAGTAATTTTCTTACCTTCTGAGTACTCATCTCTTTTTCTCTTAAACAAGTGAAAATTAATGTAAGAAATCTTGTTCTTCTTTTCCCCTCCACTTAAATGCAAATAAAAGGAGTCTGTTGGTGATATACAAATGCCATTCTTAAAATTAGCGTTCCATGACTTTCTATGGTTAAATATACACTTCTATGGAGAGACAGAGAGAGGAATTGTGCAGAATTGTTGTGGATTACACAGATAACCCTTGAAAAAGGCAGTGTAACCACTTACAGAAAAGCCTTTGCAGTTCATTTTTAGAGATACTTAAGTATGAATTCTTATCACTTTATATTTTTGACTCTAAAAAGTCTCTTGGTGTAAGTTTTTTTTAAGATCGGTGGAATTACATAGATGTTAAAAGGAACAAATCCAGTGTCTATCTGGATGAGTTTTTTACTGCATTTAGATATTTTAGAACAGCCTTTTCCTGTCAGGTATGGGGGGAATCATCTAAACAGGCTTTAGAGATCTAAAATTTAAGATGTCTTTTGTAATTCAATATCCATTAGAATGTGTATTGTATTACTTTAAAAATACAGTGGTGTATACATTTCCTTTCTGCTTTCAGGCTTGTGTGGATGTACGAGCAAGCAGTGTGTTTTGGCAACAAATGGAATTAGCAGAAACCATTCAAGGGCAGCCCAAGTTACCGGAGTGGCTCTCCACACACCCTTCTCATGAAAATAGAGCTGATCACTTAGACCGGCTTATCCCAGAGGTGAGCAGAGTTGCAGGAAGTGTGTCTTTTTCTCTTAGGAAGGTTGCCAGAATTAGTTTGGTATTGATTCATGAGCTACTTTGATATTGATTTACAATCTGCGCTTTTAGCATCATGCTTATCTTTCTCTTTATCCTTACAGAAATTTTCTGTTACAAAGTTCTCCAACCTTAAAGGTTTTATTAAATGAGGAAAAATTAAGATAGCACAGGTAAAATGTAATTATATTCTAGGGTTCTTTTTTTTTCTTTTCTGATCTCTGATCGAAGTGTAATATTTTTGCTTTTGAATGTCCTTCTGGTACACTTGTGACAGTGTCACAGTTCTCATCTATTCTTTTCTCTTTTTTGCCATTTTGGAAGCCAGTTTTTAAGTTGGATCCCTAAACTGTCTTGACTTCTCTTGCTTTGGTAGCTAGCCCTATGCTGTCAAATAGAGAATGCTCCATCCTATCCTGTCTCTCTCAGTGGTGTGGAATTGAATACACCTCAAATAACTGTGCCACAGATGAATGTCAGATCCCCAGTAGAAGATTTCTTAATAGCCCTAGTTATGATAGGTCTCTGTAGATTTTGCAGCCTGCTTTTTCCTTCACATCTCTGTTCCGTCACATTACAGAGCAAATTTTACCCCACTCCAAGGAACCTGAGCTAATTCACGCAATTGCCCATCAATCTGCAGTCTTTTCTCTGTTCTTTCTTTCAGATTTCCTCTCAGAGGAATGTCAAGTAGATAGCTGCTTGGGGATTCTCTTAATTTGATGTGCTACTTGCTGGTAGCTTAAGAGCACAGAACTGTTCCAAGTTTAGTAGTCTTAGTTTGTTTACTATTTCTTTAAATAGTGGGGGTTTTAACTATAGAAAAATGGCATGGATTCATTTTTACCTAGTTTTTTCTTTTTAAAAGATACTGTTAAAGCACTTCAGAACAGCACTGTTTTTCGGCAAGCTAAACTGTGTTTGGAAACTCCTTTCCTTATAAACAACTGGTAATTTCGTCGTTTTCCGCTTTTCTTTTTTTTTTTACATTCTCAGTCACTTCAAGTCTTTCTTAATTCCAAACTGAAGATTTATTGGCAGAGAGAGCACTAAAATGTTGAGATGTTTCCTGATCTCAAAGGAGAAAAAAAGATTTTCATGAAACCTTTGATGAGAATGAATGCAGTAAATATTCTAAATAATGGCATAAATCAAAAACAAGCATAGGGGTGGGAGGTTGCAGACTGGCTAGACTGAATATTTTAGATTAATATATACAAATTCTGTACTTTGCAAGAACAGGTTGTTGAGATTATTTTGATGGATTTTCTAACACGTTAGAGCGGCTGAATGGAAAATGATAGTTGTTGTGGAGCCTTAATTCTAGTTAGATTGAACACAAAGGGTTCAGGATCCTTTATTTTCATACAGTTATTGACTGGCTTATAGAGCAGTAATGAAATAAATTACTTCGTATGTTCTGTCTACCCCAGGACTGATCAAATAAGTTAAATAACTGAGCAACTGTGTAGAACTGGCAGTCATGTTATTTCTGTCTTATCTCTTGTAGTTTAGCAGGTGGAACAACCTTCATCTTTTTATAGCCACTCTCACTTCGAAGAGCAGTGGAGGCTAGGAAATTTTCTTCCAAAAGATAATTGAGGAGATGTTTTCATTTGCCTTTTACCTTAAACATTCTTTGGAGTAAGGTGAGAAAGCAGGAGCTGAAGGCTTCCTGTTTTTAACAGAAGTTCACTAGATAAGTGAGGTCAATATTACAAAAGTGGAATAAAAATGAAATAAGGTATGTAGAGGTGTTGTTGGAGGCTTCTTGTCTGAAGTGATGACTCCCCTTCATCTGAGAGCTGCCTTCTTGAAGCTGGGTCTCAGGCATTTAAAGGGAATCCCAGGGCTTGGTGGTTGTTCGGTATCAATCCCTTTTTCTTCCCGTTTTTCACATATTTAAAGCCTTTTAGAACAGTATGTTTACCATATATTAATGGCCATTAGATATTCAGAGCCCAGGGGGAGAAACCAGATTTCAAAAAGGTCCTTTTTATCTCTCTAGTATCTCTCTGTGAAGAAACTGTACTTCTTAGACTCAGTATTAGATCCATCGTGAGCAAGAAACAAGGGTTTAAATCCTAAAAAAAACGCAAACGTGCTGGGTTTTACCTTTGTGCTTGACTTTGAATATTACTTCAGTTGAAATTGTCCTTCCTCTGAAGAGCTGAATGAAGTAGACAGGTTTGTATTAAAGATGCTGATATTTTTGTGTTTCATATGATGATGGTTTTGAATTTGAAATGGTTTTCAGGACAATATAATATCTATTATTAGATGAACTACTGTAGCTGGGGGTATTAGAGACAAATTTTTGGACTTCTCAGGCCGTGCAGATGTTTCTCTACAGACTTCAAAGCAAGTTCACAATAAGATGCGATCAGATAAAGTGAGACTTTTTCTTCAGGTAATGACATGGCATGTGTCAATGAGGTGACTTAATAGTCTGAGGAAATGTAAATTAAAGTAGGAGTAACACAGAGATTCTCTTTTCACATAATTAAAACTCATTTGATTTGCTCCCTGACTTTTAAAGATCTTCCATCTGGTTTTCTGAACAAGTTGGAAGCTACAGCCAAGCTGAGGAATTAGTAAATAAGAGAGCTATAAGCAGTTACAAAGTGGCGCTGTCCTGTAAAGGAAATAGAGGAAATTAAAAAGTTACCATGTTTTTAAAGGATTTCCCCCTCAGACTGGGAGAGATTTGGATTGTAAACTAGGGAAACAGAATATACTGTTAAATAGGAAACTGAAATCTCCTAGAATTCCTGTATGGAAGGTAGTGAGATGCTTGGTAAAGGCCTGTGCATTTTATTTTCAGAAAAAGAAATCTTAAAATTATTTTGTACTAGTGGGAAGGATGGTTACTATTGTTCTGGAGAGACAAATTGTGGAAGTGTGGTGCCAGAGAGAAGCTATAGGATCTTCTAGTTCATCTCTGAACCTTTTATTTTAATGTTCTCTGACTTGCTACAGTTTGTCTACCTTTTTCCTAGTATGCTGTCCAAGTAGAACACTGTACATCAGCTGAAGCTTCAGCTATACTGAATAAAGCAGAAGGTTATCTACTGAGCCTTGCCTGCAACACAAAATTTCATCTTGACATGACATTTGCTTTTTTGGCATCATGTTGTTGGCTCCTGTTTCCCACTCTTTCTTGTGGAAATGCTGTGTTGAGATCATTTCGAGTGTAATACTAAGTTGGGATATGTCACCTCTACTGCTTCTCTTTTGTTTGCTAGGTCAATTAACTTGTCAAAAAAAAAAAAGTTAGTTAATTTACTTTGGCAAGATCTGTTCTTCTCAAATCCGCATTGGCTGTTCATTATTTTTGTTTGGGTTGTTATTGCTTATTCCTGAGTCTGCTGCCTTTTAGTATATTGAAGATACATTTATTTCGCTTCCTTTTCAAAAATGGGTTGGTATATTTGCCCTTTGCTCGTGATGTGAAGATTACTTCAGATAGTTCTAGTTCTAGAATATATTAATTAAGCCTTATCAAGGTGAAAACTTAAAGGAAAATAAGAATAAAAAATACTGACCTGTGTTTCTATCCTCCCCATAAAGTTAAATTTTTGTCACCGTTTTCTGTGCCAACCGAAGCACTGAAAGATTTGAAGTTTAGCATTATATGCAGGTTGCTTTTCTTCTCCACCAAGTAACAAATCTATCCATTCTTTAATTATCTTTTCACTACTACTTCATTTGTAGAACCTGTTGTCTTCCCTATGCCTGCTAATTGTCATTTGTTTTGCAACTCAGCGGGTTTTTTTTTTTTTTCCCACCTGGCTTTCCCTACATGCTTGTGCTATTTCTTAGTTTTTGTCAGAAATGCAAGGTCAGAGCGTAAGTCAGCCCTGCCAAGGTAATCGCAGTTGATACACAAGAGACTATAACCCTTGGCCTGGTTTGTGGACAAGAGAATGATGTGGCTTTTATACTGAGAGAGTTGACAGCCTGAGAGGTAGGATGCACTCCATAAGACTGTAAGGGGTCAAGATGCAGCAGTTAGCCTGGTATCTGTGACACTGGTGAAGGATTAATACTGAGAGCTAAAAATTACTTTTTTCTATATTTGTCTCTGCTGATAGCCTTTATATGAAAGCAATAGGATGAGACAGACCTCCCTAATTCTCATGCCTTCCCCCCTCCCAGTACATTGCAGGCAGTGACTGCAATTGTATTGATGAGAAAAACAGCTTCACCTTTGTTACTTACAAGCAATAGTTTTGATGTTTTATTTGAGATCTCTTGAACCGGTAAGCATGCAGGTGGTCTTTATTCTGAACAGCAGTACTTCTTTCTTAAGGTTAACCTGAAAAGAACAGCATTAAAGTACTCTCAGTTCCCAGGTGTATTTACATACACACTCTGGCTAATTAACCTTGTCTCGGTTCTGTCCATCTTCTTTATTGAGAACACTCTTCAGTATGAGCAGTCAATGAAACGTTATTGTTATAATATCAATATGCATGTGCTTCATTGAGAATGCTTTTACTTTTCCTCTTACCCAAACTGTCAAAAAACAATTTACTTGAGCAACATTAAATTACCAGATTTGAAGTTGCTAGTGATTTTGAAAGTACACTATGGCTGACCACGTTGGGCTGTTTTATCATTCAGGAAAAATTATATTGTAAGCTCCTCAGCCTCTTATTGGCATCTTAATGATGTTGCAGAGCTACTGGCACAAAATAAAACAGCTGAAAGAACACTTTCTAACCAGGGTTAAATGTTGCATGGCAGTCACAAACGTACATACAAAGACTAATTTCACTGGAGTATGTAGTCATAGCTGTCTTCAACAGTGAGATGACATGTCGACATAACTTTCCATTCTCATAACTGTAGTCTTTTTAATGGCATGTGAGTTGGTGTTGAATAGATGCCTTCTACCTCCTTGGACAGCTTTACGTCTACCAAGAACGCAAAGACATCTAGAGGGTAAAAATGTTAACTCTGAAGTATTGTTTTTTACCTTTGCTGTTGTGACTTCAGTATTTTTAGATAAGTGAAACCATGAAAATAGGCCAGGCACTATATAGCCAAGAAAACCAGAGATTTAAAAATGCTAAATTAGTTTAGAAGAGGATTACATTGCCATTTCCAGGATACAGCCTAAATCTTTATATTTCCATTTGCCTTGAATAATGCTGCTTGACATTAATGCAGTCTTGCAGCAGCTTATGTTCTGGAAGAGAACAAGAGAAAACTCTTGGTTTGTCATAAATGTCAGTTTAGAAATTAATTGGTCACTGAAGCAGAAGTGTTCAATGGTACAGTTGCATTTGGTGACTACATGGATGCTCGTGCTGTAGAAAAACAAATACTGAAAACTTTATTTGTATTTTTTAGAAGTTAGACAAGAGGAATATTTGCATGCGTAATCCAGACTTGTGTATCCAGTAATTTGAATGTTGCATTTCAGCAAGAAACAGCTGCAGAACCTTGCTACATTCCTGGAATGTGTCTTTTTCCAAAGCCAGTTGTTAAATTTAAATTCTGGTTTTTTTCTAGCCATTTACAGCAATCTCTTTACCAGTTCACTGTAGTAGTTAGGGAGAAATATGTTTTGGTACCTCCTTATACAAAGAAATGAGTTAAGAACCTCTGCTCTTCTATTTTAAAATCTGCTATAGTAAGATATTCCCAGTGTCTCCTGTGGAAGAATACCAGATTGTTTCAAAATGATGGGCAAATACTTATACTTAAGTGTACTGGGATATTTGATTTGATATTTCAGCCAAATGTAGTGTATATAAAGCAGATTAAATTTCTGCTCTGTTTTTTAAGCGCAGTGGTAGGACGGCTATGAAAACTGTGTAACTTTTTTCTTCCTCTTTAATTCGTCTAGAAAAAGTAAATCAACCCACACTTTCAGCTAACAGTCCCTAGTACTGGTCAGGAGGCACCTGGCTACAACTCAGGACAGGTCTGGCAATTACTATTCAAGAATCCACAGTTATGAAGAGAAGTGGAATAAAATATACATTTGAACTTATTTTCCCATGAAAGGACTAAAAATAAAGCTGGATGTCAATTTGCCGATAGTTTTGTACTGTTAGTTGGGGCTAAGATACAGATAATAGTGCATAAAAGCGACCATACCACAGTGACCATTGATCAGTGCTAAGTATCAGGCTAGTTTTTGACTTGGTGTTTTCTTGGTGTTTCATTTTGCAAATCTTGAAAAAATAGTTCTCAGCAGAGATGTAGAACCCTCTAGAGTTCTACATACAGTATTTTGCTATATGATACATAGGAACTTGCTTTTCTTGATTAGTTTAAACGGGTCTTGTAGGAGAATCCGTGGATACTAGCAGATCTGTGTACAACTGCTTGCACAGTACTGCATTGGACTTAGTTGTGTGGTATCTGTTGTTAGCTCTAAACGAGCTGCCTGTTTTTATGGACTAATTAAAGTATGTTCAGCTTCGTTACAATGAACACCAACTTAAGCATCCTTTAAAACAGCTAACTTCATACTGCTTTGTATCAATTTCTCCATGGTGCCTTTGAGACATGAGATTCATTCATTGTCATACCTTTCTCAGATTGCCCATAAGGCAGAATGTTCTTGGGGGAGTATGCCTGCACTAATGGATTTTGATTCTCTGGGAAATTCTTTGGCTCCTTTGTGCCTCTACTTTCTGATCTGTAGAATGGAAACAATGGCACTTACTCAGTGACCAGGAGTAATTTAAAGTTTGGTCTCTTAGTGGTAATCTTTTTATCCAGATAAATTTTTACCTTCTAGAGACGCTGTTTTCTCGGAACACTTAGAAGCTGTGTATTCAAATGCTTCTTGGAGATGAGATCACTTGTGTAACTGGACCTTAACTATACTGATCAACCATCTGGAACTCTGTGCCAAACAGTTAAATGTCCATTATGTTGTTGGAGATTTTTCCCTCCTTTTTTGAGTCAGGCATCTATATATAGTTGCTTCAATAACAAAATATATCTGAAGTAGTCAATTATTCACAGCCCTTTTTTTTTTCTTGTGCAGTCATTTTAATTTACATGTGAATGTAAATGAAAAGGTAAAAAGTACTGATGTGAACAAGTGTCACAAAATAGTTGGAGAACTTCCTCCTTATTTATGCTGTACCTTTTAGAGTATCCATTCTTCAAGAGACTGACTGTGAGAAAATGAGAGACTATGAGAAAATTATTTTTGTTCTTCATTTTTTTCCATTGTTTTACCATATTGCTGCTACCTCTCAAGAATTCTTGGTTTCTGTTAAAAAGTTGTTCAGTAACAACTCAGACTCAGTATTATACTCACTATGCTTTGTATGCAAATACAGACCTTACTGGAAAGCCAAATCACTGACTGAAACGTTTTTTGTTTTACTTATTTAAATGAGGTTGATGTGTTTTCCTATGTATTCACAGGCTCTTAAAATAAGAGATAGCTGCAATTGCCCATCTCTTTCTGGACCAGATCCTCGCCTCATTTTCAAACTTAACATGCAACATCTCCTGGAACTGTCTAAAGATCAAGAAACGCTGAATTCTACAAAGCAAGATGTCTCAAAAACAAAACTGGATTTTCCTCACACGCAAAAAGTGGAAGATATGCCAGTAACTTTTGCAGCTAAACCTACAAACTAATGATGATAATTTTCACTTTTTTATGACACTTGTCCCTGAAGGTCTGTCTTACAATGCAGATTTGTCTTTGAACCATGAAGAAGATGTAGCCACTAATACTCTGTTTCTTTTATGTGATCTCTCTCTCAAAGCAATAGGAACCATGCCCACACAAGAAGAGCAGTGTGTTGGAGCAGGAAGTTTCTTATTCATCAAGAGATACTAAAATAAATCACTTCTCAGGGGAAAGATAATCTCGTACAATCCAGTCACACAGTGTAATTTTCAACTTTATCAGGCTCACCTTGATCAGAGGACATGAGCCAGAAGCGTCCCTAAAGCAGAGGAAAAAGTACAATTTTCATCACTTAAGTTGTCTGGTTTATCTTGCTGTAATTTGGGTTAGATCTGTTCAGCTTCATTTGAGAAATAATGAGAGCTTACCGCCTGTTCTACATATAGTATGTTTAAAAATATTAAGCTGAGATGTGGTAATAGCCTATGGGCTAGATACACCCCCACTTAATTAGGTGGATTTACTGCTGGGATTTTTCTTCTTTCTAAGGCATTTTAGAATATGGATTGATTCAACATTTCTCTTCACAGCAACCCGAAAGGGTTGCACAAAGTTCAATTTAAAAAAGGAGTTAAATAATTTTCAAGGAAGTCTTTCTTCTGAAAAAAACACTGTGTAAGAACCAGTCTGTAGCACTAGAATGCTTTGCAAGGATGGCTGTTGTCTTTTTTAAATGATCAGGGTGCCTCATCAGAGACCAGTTTTACTGCAATGACATTTGATTTGGATATATCTGTTTGGAGAGAAGTGATTGCTGGTGTGGAAATATATTACGTACTAGACAAATACAACAAGATTTCTTGACTGCACAGCTTTCGCAGCTGTACCTTGTCCTAAAAGGTGACTTCTCTCAGGAAACTGGCATCTAATGCTGAGCATCTTCCCCTCCCCCTGAAGCCACACATTTTATACCGTGGAGACCAGTATGCACAATATAGGTAAAGCTCTGCCTTTCATGATGGGCTAGCCAGTATAGCCAGCATGTTAATCTTTATTTGCACGTTTGAGTTATCCTTGCTTTGCAGTTGATGAAAATATTGAAATGTTGATCTTACAGGAAGATGTAGAAAGAGGTGGCAGTGAATGAAAATAAAAAAGGGGAATCAGATTCCTTTATCTGTTCAGATGTATTTGCTATTAGGTTTTTTGTTACTTGTATTAAGACGAGAATCTGTTTCATGTATGGTAGGGTTTTTACATGAAGTGGGCATTCAAAATATTTTACAATGTATTGTATTTTGAAATACTCTTTTTTATATGTGGAGAGGGGCAGACTTTATCATGTTTTTTCAATTAAATCAGAATGCAAGCTTTTAAAAAGGAAAAAATAACCTATTCAGTCCTCTCAGTGAACGTAGTTGGAAAAAAAGGTTGTGAAACCAGTAACTCCTTTACTGACTTTAGTCGACGAACCAGGGTCCTTTGAGAAACATGAGCAACTACCTAACATAACTCTATTCAGAGGTGAGTTGATGTATGTGTAATGTTGATGATTCTAGGTCTGATTATATAGGTCTAGATTGGCTGCATATTGCTTACAAGCTGTTTTTAAATCTCTGCTCAATACTACTGGCAAGAGGCAGAAGGTCCAGCCTGACCATTATTCATCCATCCATGTTTATTCTTAGTGACAGGAGTTTTTGTAACAGACGTTCAGTGATGTGTTGAAGCATTTGGACATTGTCACCTGAAGGTAAACAGAAAAATACACCATTTAGATTTCCCTGTGGACCTTATAGTTTATAATGCAATACCAAGACCCCAATGCTGCTGCCTCTCTCTCACTCCAGTGTCAAAGCTTGTTTTGTTATCCAGGGCTCCTGGTTGACATGCAACTTGATGCTTGTGTCTGTTAGGAGTAAGGAGAACATAGAAGAGTTTTTGTAGCATTCAAGATGAAGTATGAAACTGCACAGGTTTCATATTTCTTACTGTCTGTTCTAAGTGGCTTAAGTATTGCAGTGGAATGCTGGAGATGCAATTTTTAAGTTCACCGCAGGAGATTTTTTTTTTTTTTTAATTTGTATGTAAATAGTCTTGTAACCATGATCATGGTGATGTGAGAGAAAAGGTTTCAAGGGAGAGGTAATAGCTTATATTAGACCAACAAAGCGCCTATGTACTTTTTTATACTGGTCCAATAAAACATCTCTCTCCTTACAAACCTTACATATGCATACACACACATATGTGTTTGTGTATATAAAGTACACACACAAACACAAGAGTTAGGCTTCTACACTGAAAAACTGTAGTTTTAAAGTCCAAAATGGGATGTTGAAAATTTCAGTTTTTACTTTACATTTTGAATTATCCCTAATATTTTTCTCGGGTGCTTTGGGAGGGGTTTCTTCTTTCTGCTTCTCTTTTGTCCGACACAGAAAATGCCTTATGCTCATCTGCCTCCTGGAGGGCACTTTTTCCTTAAATTCTTACTGAATACTATACACTACATCTGTCTATATTGTTAAAGTATTTTCTTTTTTCTTTCTTGAACAGAAAAATTACAAAAATGTTGCTCCAAAGGTTTGGGAAGTTACAGTAAAAGTTGCACTTTTTAAATTAAAGAACATACAATAATTTTAAAGTTGTGTGTCTATATATAATAACATACATAATATGTTAATATATAAAC